GTAGAGGATTCCAGAAGATGAGCATATGATCTGTACTATGATTACTGGGAGAAGACAGAAGTGAGAGCAGCTAGCGTGTGACCGTAGTCCCTCTGTGCCAAAATATTTTGATGGGCTGTTTTGGACTTAATGGAATGGTGAAGCAAAGGTGGGTGTAGGAACAACACATGCAATGGAGAAATGTACAAAACCTTTAACCTCTCAGGTAAACTAATGCTGCCATGCCCACTTGACCAAATGCAGACTGGAAAGCTATGTTCCAGTTTTCAATCCTTTTCTTTGAGTTAGGCAAGCTGAGGAAGACAAGCTGTATTGGACTAAACACTCTAGGGACATGTGTATATGTATTCCAAAATAGGTCCCTTTGCTCTTTGAAATAAAAAAATGAAAAGTTTGGAGTTAGTAAAGAATGTCACTGGAAACCGAGGTCAAAATCATTCATAGTATGTAAAAGACAGTGAAGAAAGACTGTTACTTTATAAAAATCATAACTCAAAAATCTCTTTGCCCAAAATTGAAACCGAGGTCAAAATCATTCATACTATGTAAAAGACAGTCAAGAAAGACTGTTACTTTAAAAAAATCATAACTCAAAAAATTCTTTGCCCAAGTGTCCCAAAATGTGGCACAGAGCAAGAGCAGAGTTTCAGCTATATCCCTATTGAGAGTATTCATCCCTGTTTTAGAGATCAGAAATTTGGCTGAAATTAATCTTAATTACATTACTCCAAATTTATTTTACATTTTCCAATCTTTATTGCATTTCCCAAAAGAAAATGCCAGTGCTTGTAGTGACCATAGCTTTATGAGCCACTGGCTTAAAGTTTTCTTTAAATAATACATGGCATTATTTTCAAGAAGTGCAAATAACAGGGCCGGGGGGAGGAGACATGCAGATGAAGTGCAAGGGCTGCTGGGACTTGTATGTGGATATGTACCCTTGCTTTATTGACTATAGTAAAGCCATTGACCAAAATGAACATGGCAGGGTGATGAACATTTTAGTAAACAAAATATATTGATTCCAGAGTTATTTATATAATTGGGAACCTCTATTGCCAGCCAAAGTCACAACGGAAGTTGAAGATCAGAGGGCGGAGGACCTAGATTGATGAAGGGGTGTATGAGGCAATGTGTATTCTTACAACTTTTTTTTCAATTTGTGCTCCAAATAAATCTTTAAAGACTCCACTTGTCAATTCAAATGGCAATACCTTTGATTTACTATCAAACCTGGTTTGCACAGATTACTCAGCAAAATCAATAAAGTAAATGATGGACGCAACCTAAAATTGAATATAAAATCATATTTATGGTCATAAGAAGCAAGCACTCCAAGTAAGGTAGTTAATAGTCCCTCATGAACATGTGCAATATGTTGGCAAATACAAGTACCTCAGAACTTGACTGAATTAACAGTGGGACCATAGCCATATAATAAAAGTCAGATGGCCTTGAATAGCTTCTTTAAAATGAAGAAGATAGCAAGTGATAAAACCTGAGCCTTGGCTCTTGAGAATGTACAGTTCTAAATTGTCTCAGTCCAACTGTATGGCATGAATTTGTGTACACAGGCAACTATAAAAAAGAAAGAAGCATTTGAAATTTGACTTTATTGCAGGATGTTAAGAAATTGGCTTCTTAGAGTGACAAATTAAGTAGTATTAAAGAGAATTAGATAAAGACAAATCATAAAAAAGAGAAAACATGGAATACTTGGATTATGTAATAAGAAACAAAAGAAACTGATGGTTATGGCTGACCATTCAAGACAACTAAGTCACAGAAGAATTGCAGGAAAAAAGAGCTTCCTGACTGAAAAAACACTAGGCATGGGGTTTTGTTGTTTTGTTTTTTCAGTACAGCTCCCAGCATTCATCAGGAATTCCCACAGCCAGTAGTCTCTCTTGGTCACTTGGCCCTGATTGGATGCCTCTCAGAAAACTACAAATCCCTCAATTCCTTGCAGCTAGCATGGAACTGGGATGGTCCCACCCGGTTGCTGTCTCCTCAGTCTGATGATCAGAGCTGCAGAGGGAAATGTTGGGCCACAGATGTGTATGCCAAAACCCTTGTAAAGATTTGGATTTTAATTTTTTTTTATTTTGTTTTATTTTATTTTGCTATCACTACCAGAATTCTGGCTGGGGGACTTCTGGGGT